TGTTTACATGGCACTTGCCTCCTCCTGATTGGGAGGTAGAACGGATTTAATCACTGTCCAATTGCCACCGCTCAACAACGAAGGCCAAGTGCCATCACACTTGGTACAGAGACACAACACGACATGACCCACACAACCCTGACGCAATATGAAAATTGTGAGGATCCACTAGTCTTGAAGTCTGTTTTTTCTGATTTTGTGAACACATTGACATGAAGATAGCAGTTGATTTAACAAAACTTTGTGTGTACAGTATATATAATACTATATACAGGTTGACCTTCGATTATCTTGCAATCACTGGTCCAGCACCACTTCTTGTCCAGGAGTTGGAAATTTCAAATTACCCAGGTAGGCAGGGTTCTTACGCTCACACTCTGCATTGTTTACTGAACCACTGCTTTTGTTTTCTTATTATCACTCTACCATGCTCCCTCCAAAATCTTTTATTTGCAATTAATATCTTTTATTGAATCCATCTATGTCTGCAAAGAAAGGAGCAAGTGGTAGTGGTGGCATAAAATGCAAACATTATTCCTTATCAATTCAAGAAAAGGTAGAACTTTTGAAAAGGAAAGGTATTTGCAGTTTTTTAAGTGTTCTTTAAGGGACAGTGGATGGTTATGGTCCTTGGCAACACTCATATGTTTCCCATAAGACATACAGTATGCAGTCATCCTTAATTTTCAGAATATTTTATACTGATTGACTTGTTAGCCAATTGGGCTATCAGTCATGTCTCTTTTATGCACTTTTGGCAAGTACAGTACTGGGCATGTACTGTTGTACTGTAATAACCTGCCAGAGAATGTTGTTATAGTAAGAATTGTGAACTGTTGTAATAACCTGTATAAGCACAAATGGTACATACCTGTATGCAGAGCTGTCCCAAGGGGGTGGTGAATCGGGCCGGCCGCCTCGGACCTCGCACTTTCTGGGTTAGTAATTATACAGCTCAAATGCAATAAATAAACTAGTAAAAGAAGGCTGTGCTGATTGGGAGCATTTTAGTGAAAGACTAAAATCTCATGAGTCATCAAATGAACACTTGTTCAACCTCAACCAAATGGATGGAAGTGAAAAGAAGGTTCCGTTCAATGAATACCATAGATACATGCATGTTACAAGACTTGAATAAAGAGAAGGAATGTTGGACAAGTCATTGAGTGTTGGAAATTCTCGCAATATTAACAAACCCAAGTTGTTTTCGGAACTTCGAGTACTCCGAGAACTCCACTCCTAATGAAACAAAAAATGCATTTCAAGTCCTTCAGTTTCTAAATTCTTTCAATGGTTCTTCCCCTAATGCAGAAATAGTGTACAGTGGTCCCTCGGTTAACGAACGGTTCGGTTAATGAAATTTCGGTTAACGAATTACCTTCCATAAGAATCTTCAATTCGGTTAACGAACAAAAATTTGATTAACGAAATCCTTACGAACATCACGTTTTGTTGTGAGCATCAGCTGATCAGCTGAAGGGCTAGTCTGCCAATTCAGTAATCTGTTCTATGTTTACATTCGTTTCCAGTGGAGTAAATATCAAGAAAGTTGTGCTCTTTAATGTTTTGCATGTTTTATATAAAAATTATTAGTCATTTTAACATTTATTTAACATATTGATAATATATGCAGTACAGGGAACTATTTTTTTGTGCGCCCATCAGATGCTTGACTCAGCCACAAGGCGTCAGTTGGACTCTGTTGACAGTGGAGTGAACATTTATTTTGTTGGTGTCTTGAATATTTTTGCATTTTTCATTGAAATTATTGGTCATTCTGAAATTTAGTGTACATATTGATAATATATAGTGCAGTGTTGATTTAAATAAAATAATTTTGAATTACACCTAGTGAATTTAAAATTTTATTGGTGAATTGAGGGGCATCAAGCATGGGTCCCTTGAAAGGTGATTTCTCCTCCATCCCCACTTTCTTCTCTTCTCCCTTCTCCTTCACCCCCACTTCTAATTCCCATCATCATCATCAACCAGGAACCTTCTACATACACACCTCAATGTAAGTGTACTTTACTGCATTTTTTTTTACTTTGTACAGTATGTACTTTTCTGTGAGCTGGAACCAATTACCCAATATCCCATTGAAACAATGTATTCGGTTAACAAAATTTTTGGTTAACGAACGACCCTTTGGAACGAATTGTGTTCGTTAACTGAGGGACCACTGTACAGTGATCCCTCGGTTAACGAACACCTCGGTTAACAAAATTTCGGTTAACGAATTACCTTCCATAAGATTCTTCACTTCGTTTAATGAAAAAATTTTGGTTAACGAATTCCTTACGAATTTTTCCCAACATGTTTTCACCTGCTCACCAGCTGTAGTATTAGTCCGCCAATACAGTACAGTGGGGTATGCTATAAGGAATCTAATTGGTTCTAGAACCTTGTTCGTTATAGCATTCGTTCGTTATAGGATTAATCCGTTCCAGGCCCCCAAATACAACCACTTAACACTGAAAAATATAATATAAAATTGTAAAAATTGTAAAAAAGTGCATAAATATGCATCTAAACCCCTGAAATAATGAGTATCATTAATACTTGTAATAAAAAAACAATAAATTAGTAAAAATAAATAAATAAATAAAACAAATAAATAAATAAATAATGTTCGTTGTAGGAGTTTCGTTCGTTATAGCATTCTCAATTTTATAGGTAAAACCGTTCGTTATAGGAATATTCGTAGTAGGATCCGTTCGTTATAGCATACCCCACTGTAATCGGTTTTAGGGCTTAAATTCGTTACCATTTGAGTAAATATCAAGGTTGTACTATTCAATAATTTTCCAAGTCGTATATTAAAATTTTTAGTCATTTTAACAATTATTTAACATCATTGAAGTACAGGGAACTAGTTTTTAGCGCACCAAACAGCCACTTGACTCACCCAGAATGGTGTCAGTGTGTGTCTCTGCTCAGTGGAGGAAGCATCTCTTGAACATAAACTATTTTTACATTTTTACAGTACAATACAATTATTGGTCATTCTGAAGTTAATTTTACATATTGACAATATATAATGCAGTGCAGTGTTGATTTAAAAAAAATAATCTTGAATTACACCAAGTGAACTAAAAATTTTAGGGTGAAATGGCAGCATTGGGTGACTTCTCTTCCACCCCAATGCCTTCTCTTCTCCCTTCTCCTCCACCCCCATTCTAATTCCCATCATCATCATCATCAACCAGGAGCCTTCTACATGCACACCTCAAAGTAAGTGTACTTTACTGCTTTTATTTTTAGTTTGTATGTAATTTTCAGTGAGCTGGAACCAATTACCCAAAATCCCATTGAAACAATGGTTTCGGTTAACGAACGACCTTCTGGAACGAATTGTGTTCGTTAACCAAGGGACCACTGTATAGGATTTTGCTGACAGTCACAGTGGCATCAGGGGAGCGAAGTTTTTCTAAGCATAAATTGATATAAAGCTATCTAAGGACAACTATGTCTTAAGAGAGGTTGAGTGGACTGGCTATGCTCTCTATCGAAATGGAACTGGTAGCAAGTTTGTGCTATCATGAACTGATAGAAGGGTTTACTCGATGAAAGCAAGGAAGGATAATTTTGAAAGTAGGCTGTTTCTGCTACTTCGCAAATGCTTTATGAGAAGTCATAGTAGACTAGTTTTCTCTTATTAACTATGATACCATGAAATTTATCAATATATCCACGGTGTCTTTTGGCATTTGTCTTGTTTATGTTACAAATCAATTTAAAACAATGCTTTATTTTCCATGTGTATGCATGCAATAATATCACCAGTTCTCAAATTTTATGCTTTTCTTGTGTATTTCCAAATCATATTTGCAGTATTTTAATGACCTCTCTAATAGTTATCCTATACAGTACTGTACTGTATGTCCTTGGGTCGCACATCTCTCTTTTTTTTTTCTTATTTTGTGTCGCAATTCTGTAAAATTACTCCCTGTATCTATTACTTTAATTTTGTAATTACAGTAGGCCCATCAAATTCGCGGGGGTTAGGTTCTCAAAATGGCCGGGAATCCCCAAATCCGCGAATAACATTTGCTTACCTGGGGGGGGGGGTGTTACATTTTTACTTGTGTATAAAGAAATGTATATTCCCTTTATGTGTTTGCCCTTAAGACAATTATTTTCTTTACCTGTATTGTATGTGTGTGTGTGTGTGTGTGTAGACACACACACACACACACACATACAAATAAATGATAATGGGAAAATACTCTCACAAACAATCAGAAACAATTGTGTATTAAAAATGTTGAGTCTACCCTCAAGTCTACTCCATGCTTTATTAATAATAAAGCACAGAGTAGACTTGAGGGTAGACTCAACATTTTTAATATACATTTGTTTCTGATTATTTGTGAGAGGATTTTCCCATTATTATTTATTTGTTTGTGTTTTGTGTGTAGTGTCTACACATACACACATATATACAATACAGGTAAAGGAAATTACTGTCTCTAGAACATATGTCTCCCTGTCCCGGCTGCAAAAATGCCAACAACTTTAAAACTACCCGCAGACATTCTTGGGTACATCCAGGGTGCCATCCATGAATAATAGAGGACCGCAAAATAAAAATCCGCGAATTATCCGGGTGTACTGTATTAAAATAATTTTGATATTTTTTTTTTATTTCACAACTTCATGCTATTGCTTTTGTATGTATGATTGGAGGCAGGCTGGTAGGATGACACCTAACATATTGCAGTTCGTGTTAAACCTGGAGTATTTTATCTAAAGTATCCAAATAATGATCAAAACATTTATTTTATTTGCCACACATTATATGAGAGTAAATGAGGAGAAATTGGACTATGCAGAATCTGGCTTGAGACAGAAACAAGTTCAGTTTACTCTACTGCTGGCACCACCCTCACACACTCACACAGACATATGAACACATGCTCAGGGCTCACACATCTTCCACCTACTGCTTTTCTTAAAAAATCTTTTATGACATTCAAAGCTTTCTTCCTTCTCAACAGCATATGCAGATGAAACGGATCTTCAAAATCGGACTGAGTTGCTTTTGTTATCAACCTCTGACGAAGCTATAGACTCATCGGTAACACCAGCCAGTCCTGATGTGCCACTTCTTCCAGAACAAGCTGCTTCATCCATTTCTGTTATTGACACCTTTGATCAATATGTCACAACAGTTGTGTAAGTCTGAATTTGGATTTTTACACCCCAGAAAGTTGAAGGTAATTGTAGCATGTAGAGTAACTCACTTGATTAACCCCTTCACCAAACACTATATCAGAGGGGATGGGTGAGGGAAGGGGGTATGAGTATGTGAGGGAGGAATTTATGTGTGTGTGTGTGCGCGCGCACACTCTCATTTAGCAGCCCACTGCCCACCCTGTGGTAGTCAGTCTCTTATCAAACAGGTAAACAAAACAGGTTGGCCTCTCAGGTAAGTGGCATTGTGAAACAGAGCACCAGATTTTGTTCCACCAAGTAATCCTAACATATTCTCAAACATAGGGTCTGATGTTTGATTACTATCATTAGAAATTGGCAAAATTCAAACTTCCTCATGGGGATAGTTCTTATAATGAACCTAATATAAAGTACTAAAAGAGTTACTAATGCTTGAACTTTGTCTTTTTAGAGGACTGGGGACATACTTCGGTTCAAGGGTTATGACAAAACATGGGATCCTCTTCAACAACCACTTGGCTAATATGCTGCCTCACCCGTCTACCCACCCAGAGGATGTCCCACACTCTCATGCTCGACCCCTCACCTCATACACTCCAGTAATTCTGACTAACACCAGACAGGTCAGTTACAATATTGTTACTGAAAACACTTTGATATTTTTTAAATTTTTTCTCTTTTGTTAAAACTGGAAGAATGTATGATTTTAGGCTTAGTGATCCTTTTTTTATCTATAAGATGACTAGAAATATCTGGTCGTGGACTCATTGCTTTGTAATATGTTTATTTTTGTTCAATCCAGAATGCGACGTCTAGCGCTATACCTTGGTATGTAAATACCTAGCATTTACTCGCCAGGCCAACATACAGGCAATTAAAACATCTAATAATGACTTAAATATGTAATATAAGGAGGAAACGTCGCTACCTGGCATTTAATTGCAATTCTCAAAACCCCCGCCCGCACCCTTCATCACACGCATTGCTACCGTCATCTTCTTGCTTGGTGAATCAGCTGTAACACACAATAAAAAAGGCTCTGCTGATTTGTGTTGTAATACAGATTGATAATCCCTTATCGGAAATCCTTGGGGCCAGAGGCATTTCGGATTTCGGAATTTTTCGGTTTTCAGAATGGTTTTTTTTTTTTTTTTAGCCTACCCGGGCACAAGTCACTGACCCACATTGGGGACTGGGTGGCGAAAATATAATAAAAATTATAATAACAATAACAATTCATAGGTCTAGGTCGTGTTTCTCACTTTTGATCTTTTTTTTCATTCTTGTATTTCTTTATTATTGTTATTTTATTATTACAGTCGACCCTCGTTAATTCGGACCCCTTTAATCCGGATTTCAGATAAATCGGACGAAATCTGAACTAAGCGAGGGACTGTCCGTATCAAATTTCTGGTTCTGGGATTGTCCCAGTTGCAATTGGGGTTGCAATTTCAAATTCTGTGTAATCACTAAGGATTAACTAAGTCTCTGGTGCACTCTAAGATTAAGAGAGAAAACGGAAGACTCAGGCGTCCTGAAGCGAGAGAAAACGGACTCCTATGACGGGGCACTCAAATAAACATACATACACATAGCTACATGTTTAGTGGACCTCTAAACGGGTAATAGTTTCGTTAGGTTGAAAAACATTTACCAGTAAACAATGGAAACGACGCAACACCAGCTGTAAGTGTCGGTACAGTTGCCAGGACAGATCTCTTGCGCCATCATAGCAAGCCCAAAGTAGCCAAATGCTTGGTATGGTAGCACAGGACGATGTAAACCAATGTATTCATTTTTTAAAGTTTATTTATAGATACATAAATTTTTTTTCATTACATTTGAAACATCAATCTTTGTTAATTAAATTTTAAACAAAAGAAAACTACGATACCGTATTTCTAAATACCGGGTATTTTCATTAAAATATTACATCACAAGTATATTTTATCTTAACTGTGACTGAATGAACATATTCTCAGAAATAAATATGGAAATGTAATATTTTTTGCTGAAATGACGTACGTATTACAGTGGAAAGTGGGATAAAATCATGACGAAAACAATGACTTGCGCTTTCTTTCGTTGTTCAAAAGATTTTACCGTAATCGCTTTTCGAATGGTTTTCAGTTAAAAAACTGTTGTATACAATAATATTCCCTCCTAATGGACTTGAATAAATACTACCTGCGTTTCAGTGTAAAGTGTCGTAACAATAAATGGTAAACAATTTGCCTTCGGCACTCGGTGTTTCAGGCACGGCGAGCCTCAGTTTATAGGACGTAGAGTGTTTTTACTGAAGGTTTTGTTGTTCCAATGCCCTCAAAAACTTGGGTCGACCTATAAACAAGGAATATCATAAATTAATGATTTTTGGGTAAAAAAATCAGGGTCGACCTATAAATGAGGGAGGGTTATAGACGAGTCCATACCAAATTTATGGTTCTGGGATTGTCCGATAGATGGGTCACGCGGCGGCCTTGTGTGCGTGAGTCACGCCAGTCATTGTTGACCTAGCGCCATATTCGAGTATCAGTGTTGTGATGCCCTGCAATTTTCGTTGATATTTCTGTGATTAGGGATCTTTCAGCCTTGTATTTTACATCTTGTCTTCAAGGGGGAGTAATACGCTGAAGAGGAAGTATGTGACCCTTTCTGTGAACCAGAAACTGGAACTTATAAGGAAGTTAGAGGCTGGTGCTTCGGTGGCTAGAGTTTGTGATGAGTTTGGTGTTAAAAAGCAAACAGTTTCGGACACACGCAAGGCTAAGGACAAACTCACTGCATTTTCTTTGAAATATTATGTTGATGCAACTTCTAAATCATCATCTGTTGGTGCAAGGAAGCTTATGAGAGTGGCAAAAGATACAAATCTTGAGGAGTCAGTGACGAAGTGGTTTGTGCAGCAACGATCCTGTGGTAATGTCGTCCGTGGTGTAGAAATACAAGCTGCTGCTGTTAAGCTAGCAAGTCATATGGGCATCGAGAATTTCGAAGCTAGTGACGGGTGGTTATGGCGATTTAGAAATCACCATGGAATGTGTCATCTACCAAAGGTAAATGAAATTAACATATTGTAATGTTTTATATAGCTAGTTATATGATGTTTACAGTACAGTATTTCCTGTATTTTTGTTACTGTGTATCATGTTCAGCGTACAGTGTATATACGGTACTATATTTCCTAACCTAACCTAACCTAAATCGGTTAATTCGGACAATCGGCTAAAACGGACACCCTTCCCCCCTATTATTCCGAATTAACGAGAGTCGACTGTACAGTGTTATTGTTATTGCTTTACACAAAAGGCTTCTACTTGTTTCATCACATCTGTTACCTTTGCTTCTGGTAGACTGACTGACTACTGATTGGTGTCCCAATGGAGACCTAACCAATCCAATTTCTGACATGGTATGAGATTTGATTTGACCTGGTTTATCTTTAATCCTAGGTTTTGAAATAGTACTAGTGTCCATTGGGTCGCCCTTTGACAATTTTCTTATGCCCTCCTTTGCAAGGATCTCTCTGGGGATGTTTGCCAGTTTTATAAACACTTTTGGCGCAATTGTCAGGCCGAATGGCATCACTGTGAATTGATAACTTAAATCCCCCACTGCGAACACTAGAAACTTTCAGTACCTGGGAGCAACAGGCACGTGATAACAGGCATCTTCGAGATCCACTATTGAGATCCAGGCATTGAGCGGAAGTAGATGCCTCAGATGATCGTAAGTGAGCATCTTGAAACTTCTTTTGGTAATGAACTCGTTCAGGAAGGAAATATCTAAAATTCACCTCAATTTGTCACTGCCTTTCTTGGGGACTGGGAATAGGCGAGACATGAAACATTTCTCTGACTACAACAGTTCTATTACACCTCTGTTTAACAGTTGAATTACAAATTCTGTGAGTAAGGGGGTTGGTTTTTTACCCCATTTTTGTAACACTAAGGGAGGGCGCCTCAACCAAGTCCATGTGTGGCCCCCTTTGATTGTCTTGTACGCCCATATGGAAGAAGTCCACCTGTTTTCCCAACCCCTTAGACGACCCAGCTGTCTGGCTTCATTGGAAGGGAGTGGTCGCTGATGTGGTGGAATAAGGTCTCCTTCCACTTCTGAACAAACGGTCACCCCTACTACGTCTTGAATTATTTCCTCCTTTAAAGTTTCCTCTAGGTTGATAACTGAACCTAGCAGCTGGTCCTGTTCCCCTGTTAGACCTTCCTCTTTAAAATTTCCGAAAAGTCTTAGAACTTCTGGGAACAGTAATATGAATAGCTTGCTCAACAGCTGATCTATACTTAACTAATGTTTGTTCATCAAACAAAGCAGGAGGAAGATGGGAAGAACATAGCAATAAATAAGCACTACCACTTGAAGCATTATTAGTGGCTTGCTTCCTTAGCTGGGCTTTTAGTTTTAGGGCTTTCAACAACATTTCCAAAAATGAGTTGCACAGGGAATATGGAATCCCTTGTATAGCAGCAGCAAAACAACTTAGCCAATAACTGACACATCATGATTGCAGACCAAATATCCGCTGCCAACTTCCTAAATTTGAACTCTTCAAGCAACAGTGCAGAAGCAACTGGTTTCAAATTTATTTCATAACTTATATCAACATATATGATGGAGGAGACCATGGAACTGTCCTTGGAGAACTAGTGTTGAGTGAGGAGCTACAAGGACTGGAGAGCTCAGCTCATACACTAAATACGAGGAAATATCCGTCAGTAGAGGATGTGAATTCAGTAGTAGTAGTTTCACCCAGGACCCAAGGGGACCATACTACATGCAATTATCAAAGATGTAGAGCCACTTGGTGTAAAGGCCTAGGACTTAGGGATAGAAATCCCTTACCAGGCTAATCAGGATCTTAATAAAGGAAAGTCAAGGACCATGGTTTTCTGAGGAATAACAAACAACCGTTAGAGATTGGCATCTCTTTACTATAAAAATATAACACAAAACTCTGACACCACTCAACAAACGTCAAATAATTACGGGAGTCAAACAATTAATGGAAGCAACAATTAAAGGAATCAAACAAATAATGGGAGTCAGCAATTAATGGATTCAAACAATTAAATGGAGTCAACAATTGATAGAATCGAACAATAAAGGGGAGTCAGCAATTAATGGAATCAAACAATGAACAAATATTTCCTACGGCAGTGGCCCTGGGGGAAGGTTCTGGAACACGGTGATGCACACTCAGGGTAACGAAACGTCCACTTCGACTCCACACTCAGCGACGTCTTGAAAAGGCAGGAGAACACCGGGGCACCGACGGAATGTGATGAACTGATGGTCGTGGTATGCGGTAGTGGTAGATGACCAGAGAGTTGGCAGTTGATAGGTGAAGGTCTGGGAACACAGCCCACGAGTCCAGGACCTATGATGAGATCACAGCCAGAATTTGACGGACAGCAGGGTAGCTAGATACTGACGGTATGGCGGCTGGGTTGAATCTGCCGGCGGCGGAGATAGTTGCTGCCGTTCTCACCTCCGTCCAACCACCCCAAGTGTCGTCTGCACCAGCAAACGAGCGAGTTAGCAGCGGAAACTAGCCGGAGGATCGTTTCCGCCCTTACACTTGGATTACCAAGTTAGATCCTCATTT